ACGATTCTTCAATGGAACTGTCGCAGTATTAAGCATAAAAAAGGCGATTTAATATATCTTATCAACAAATACAACCCGTTTCTTGTAGCATTATCAGAAGTTTGGCTTCACCCGAAATCTCACTTCCGTATTCCTGGTTTTGCCTGCCTTCGCGAAGACAGGAAAGATGGTTACGCCGGTGCTGTAATCCTAATTAATAGATTACATTCATTTATCAAGGTTTCATTTCCTCAACATAGTGAGGAATTAAACGTTGTAGCTTGCAAATTTAATGATATCACATACCTGTCTTTCTATATTCCTCACCCACATCCATCACTGATCACTGAATTAAACTTAATAATTTCATCTATTACTCCTCCTTTTATATTACTAGTTGATTTTAATGCTCACCATGTCTCATGTGGCTCATGCAGAAATGATACTTTTGGCTATCTCTTAATGGAATTGTTTGATGAATTTAATATTTGCATTTTAAATGATGGATCACCAACAAGGAGAGTATGTCCATCTCAAAATCCTAAAAGTGTTGTTGATCTAACTTTATGTACCCCAAATCTTACATCACGTATTAATTGGAAAGTTTTATCTCACTCATATGGTAGTGATCATTACCCAATATTACTTTCATTAGCCAACTGCTCAATACCAATCAGTTTTTTCTCCGCTGTTAAAATATAATATAAAAGGAGCGGACTGGGCTAAATTCTCATCATTATCAGATTCGGTACTCTCTAAATTTTATAACAGTGACTCTAATGATATAGAGACAAACTACAAAAACTTTGTTAAGTATCTTTTACTCACCGCAGATTCATGTTTCACACGAAAAATTTCGCCTCCTATCAAAATTTGTTCTCCCCCATTGTGGGATGAGGAATGCACACTCAGTGTTAAAAAACGAAAACAAGCTGAACATCTATACTCCTCCAATACGTCTATTGAAAACTTTTTAAATTATAAAAAAATAGCTGCTCATACATTAAAACTGTTAGCACATAAAAAAAAGACGGGTTGGCTTAGGTTTTGTGAAAATCTTTCACCCCGCTCTCGTGCTTCTATATTATGGAAGAATATAAAGAAATTCCGCGGATCATATAACGTTGATAATTATTCACCGCAATGTGATTCCTCTATTTGGTACAATTTATTTGCCGATAAGCTTGCTCCTCCTTGGGTTCCCTCCTTTAAGGAATTATGTTATTGTGAACCATTGATAACCCAACTTGGAGTAAACATTAATAATTCACGTTTTAATGAACTTTTCTCCAATGAAGAATTTGAATTGGTTGTTCAACACCTTAAAGATTCGTCTCCAGGAATAGACGGAATTCCATACTCATTTATTTCTAACGCGGGATCAAAATCTAAGCAAATTTTTCTAGACTTAATTAATGACATATTTATTACGGGAATAGTCCCTAATGATTGGAAAATGCAAATTATTATCCCCATCTTAAAACCAGACAAAAATCCTAGTGATGGTAATAGTTACCGCCCTATAGCACTATCATCAACTCTGTGCAAAATAATGGAGCATTTAATTAAAACCGTCTAGAATGGTTTGTTGAAAATAAAGGTCTCTTGGCCAATACACAGTTTGGATTTCGAAAGGGACTGAGCACGCTTGATAGCTTGTTTGTTTTTACCTCTGATATACGCTCGGCTTTTTCCAGAGAAGAATCGGTTGGTGCTGTTTTTCTAGATGTATCATCAGCCTATGATAACGTTGTCCTCCCTTTACTCAAAGAAAAGATGCTTCTTTTGGATATTCCCCATAGAATTACTCGCATTATTTTTAATTTACCTTCAGTAAGGTCAATATGTATAAGAGTTCAAGGAAAACTGCTCCCTCCTAGACAGATATGGCGAGGCCTCCCACAAGGTTCTGTTTTAAGTCCTATTTTATTTAACATATACACCCATAATCTCGAACATTCTGTTCACTCCTTTTGTAAAGTCTTACAATATGCTCACGATCTAACTCTTTATTACTCTTCTAAGAACTTTACAGACTTGAGTTATCGTCTTAACTCTGCATTGTTCTACTTAAATAATTGACTTACTGATAACGGTCTATCCTTATCACCTACAAAGAGTAGAGTAGTAATATTCTCTAGAAAAAGATTTTGTCCCAATATTTCAATCTCAGTACAAAAACAAATAATTCCGACAAGTGATAATGTTAAATTCCTAGGTGTTTTTCTGGATTCCAAGATGACAGGTATTCCTCATTTAACGTTCATTGCCCAAAAAGGCGAAAAGAATGTAAATATTCTTCGTTCACTGACAGGTGTTTGGTGGGGATCTCATCCATATTGTTTAAAACTTTTATATAACGCTCTAATCCGTAGTCATTTTGACTACGGTACATTTCTCTTGGAACCTCGTAATAAATAAGCTCTTAACCTTTTAGATAAAATCTAACTCAAGTGCTCACGAATTATTTTGGGGGCCATGAAATCATCTCCATCAAATGCTCTACAAATTGAATGTGGCGAACCTCCTCTTTACCTACGTAGACAGTATCTTGCCGATCGCTTTACATATCGAATATTTCAGCTATCTTCACACCCACTGCTTTCTAAACTGCATTCTTTAAACTCTGGTTTGAAGAATAACAACTACTGGACTCATAAAGACGTTCCCTGTATCCTTAAAAGCTACCAAAAGATACTTACCTTTAAATTTCCCATATTTCAAAGTATGATTAATCCTCTATTCGTACACCCATTTGAAGCTCTATGTTATCATCCTCCAGTTATATTAGATTTTGGTGTGACTAAAAATTCCCCTGTAGCCCAAGAAAAATTTCTAAGTATATTACGCGAAAAATGGGAAGGCTGGTTGACCCTTTTTACTGATGCATCCAAACTCTCCGATAATAGTTTTGTAGGTTCAGCTGTCTGGATACCAAAATATAAAATTATTTTAAATTTTAAAAATTCAAATGCTACTTCAATTTTCACTGGTGAAGCGGTTGCTATTTTAGAAGCAATTTTATTTATATAAGCACATAAAATTAACAAATGTATTGTTTTTACTGACTCATATAATTCATTACAAAGCATTTCATCTAACCCGTTTTGAAGTAAATCGAAATTCCCAATTATTTTTGAAATAAAAGATGCACTGTATAGGTGTTTTTGTCAAGGTCTTAACCTGAAACTTGCTTGGCTGCTAAATCATAGTGGCATACGTGACAACGAATTTGTTGATTCCTTAGCAAAGCAAGCATCTACTTCTGGTACCCTCATGCATCATATAACATACTCATGACCTTATTTCTCTTGCGAAAATCCATCAGATGTCAGATTGGAACTCTCTTTGGAAAAAAACTCAGAAGTCTATCGGTAAATATTATGCAGAACTCCAACCTGACATCCCCTCCAAACCATGGTTTTTTAAATTTAGAAATGGTTCCAAACATAGCACATCTGTCATATGTAGAATTAGATTGGGACACAATTGTACACCTGTATTTTTGGCAAAACTTAAGATTAAAGATAGCTCAATTTGTGAGTGTGGATTAGACGAAGGTACGATCGATCACAAATTTTTTAACTGCCCTAACCTCTCCGTTTCATTATACGATTTTCTTCCTAATAACATTCCTCGTCCTGTAAATCTTAAGTCTTTGTTAAATTTAGTTTACACTCCTTTTGTTCAAACTTTATTAGATTTCATATCCATTAATAACATTAAACTATAGTACCTTTGCCACTTACCTATACCCATATTATTATATTAGAAATAATTTTGTAAAAATATTACAATGTTAATTCATTCGAAAATAACTACATAGGTAAGTAAGTTCGTAACATAAAGTTAAGTAAGCGCATCTACGGAAACGGAAACTAGTAAATACTCTGTGTGACTCTCATGAACACTGTTACCAACCCTACTGTTTTAACAGTAGATTTGCTGTTTTCACATTGATTTCAATGTTTTCTGTTTCATTCCTATTTTCTACTGTTTTTAGCTAGCGTTCAGCGCCACCTATTACACTGCTATGCAAACATTTTTTGATAACCACTACGTAATAAAACGCAATGACACTAGATGGCATTATCTTCTTTAGTCGGGATTCGAGGGAATTCCCGAACACATATGTGTTTGACAATCATATTTATACACGGGGAAATCCCAATTTATGAATGACAGCTACACGCCTATTGTATTGCGTATTGTTTTATAGTCACAACACCTTGAACAGTTTCTTTGAATTGCGGCGTCTATTTAAAAAAAAACAATAATTACAACGTTTTTGATAAAATGAGTAGTGGTTCATCGACTGGGAAAAGTCCTCCTAAAAAGAAAAATGAGAAATATGAACAGAAATTCGTAAATTTGTGGTTAAAAGGTGATAGGTTCAAAGGCTGGTTAAAGAAAAGCACTAAAGGTGAGATTTATTCCTTTTGTTCTACGTGTAATTCCGACAGAAAATGTGGTATACACGAACTGTTACGACACAAAGATTCAATAAAACACGCGAAGAATAGGTTGAAATTACAAAAACAACAAAAACTGACATCAATGTTAACCTCAGCTTCCAACTCACAAGATACAAAAATTATAGCTAAAGCGGGTGAAGAAAAATGGCCTGCTTTATTGCTGAGCATAATCTGTCTTTTAACATAGCATCTCATTTGAATAAATTGATTTGCGCTGTATGTCCAGATTCGAAAATTGCGGAACAATTATCAATGAGCCGCACAAAAGCTAGAGCTATTATTGTTAATATAGCTGGGCAGAAAATATAATAGAGATGTTACAGAACAATTGCTTTGCATTACTTGTTGACGAAAGCACAGATAAGTCTTCGATAAAACATTTAAAGTAAAATTAGATTTCAGCGTTGAAGATAGATTTCTGACTTTAATACCAATCGTAGATGGTACAGCAACAGCGTTGTATGGCAAAATAGTAGAATATTTTGTTGAAAAAATATTCCTTACAAATCAAACATGATAGGCTTTGCTTCTGATGGCGCTAACGTTATGTTTGGAGATAAACATTCATTGGTCACTTTGTTTAAAAATGACATACCTCACCTTTTTACTATGAAGTGCATTTGTCATTCTTTTAACCTTTGCGCATCATACGCATGTGAGAAATTGCCAAGGGGCGTGGAAGATTTCTGTAGAAACGTATATAATCATATACAAAATTCTCCAAAACGTATTGGATATTTCAAAACATTTCAAGCATTCACAAATATTAAACCACACAAATTGCTCCACCCTAGCCAAACCAGATGGTTGTCACTTATTGATGTAGTAAATAGGCTTCTGGAACAATTACCAGCTATAAAATTGTGTTTTCAAGCTGCAGTTCATGTAGATAGATTACTTTCTGCGCAATCAATTCTCTCCAAGGCTCTCGAACCGACAACTGAATAGTACCTGGAGTTTTTGAAATTTGCATTACCTATATTTACCGATCTCAATAAAGAAATGCAATCCGAGACTCCGAAATTATATTTACTATACGACAAAATACTGACCGCATACACAACTATCTTGGAATGCTTTGTACAAAGGGAACTAAAATTTTACTTCTCGAGTGAGCAGAAACATTTACCGTTGCAACATATATACGTTGGTGGAATGGTGCCAAATCTGATCAGAAGAAAGAGAGAAATAGGAGAATCAGAGGAAGAACAGCTGAAAAATGTTTACTTAAAGTGTAAGGAGTTTTATATGGAGGCTGCAAAACAGATATTAAAAAGGTTTCCTTTTGACGACAAAGACCGTTAAGCATTAAAATGTCTGAAGATGCTAAATCCTACAGCAATTCTGAATCCTGAAATAAAAAAGAAATTCCCTTCCATTGCAGATTTACATTATTTCTTCCCAAAGATTTGTCCAAATAATATAACGGAACTGGATAGAGAATGGCGAATGTTAAGAAATGTCGATTTTTCTTTCAACCAAAACAAAACTCCCGATATTATCGACTTTTGGAAACATGTACAAGAATTAAGAAATGGTGACGAATCTCAAACATTCCCTACATTGTGTGAATTGGTAAAAAAAGCTTTTGTGCCTACCACATAGCAGCGCCACCGTGGAAAGGTTATTTTTAGCTATAAATATTATGAAAACCAAATTACGCAACAGAATATCGACTACAGCTATTAAAGGAGTATTACACACTAAATCCGAAATAACCGATTGCTATTCATTTGAAGCAACAGAAAGGCACATGAAGAAATTCAAAAAAATATGTATGATTTTAAAAATAAAAATGAGTGTGAAAATATTGAAGATGAGGCAATTGAAAATGAAACTGAAAAATAATTTTACTTTGATTTTTGTTTTTTGTTGTTGTGATTATAAAAATATCAATGTTTGTGAGTTCCAGTAACTAAGAAAATTGTTTACTATGTAATTATATGAGCAAAATTATGAAATCTGCCTTTTTTTTCTTTACCTACTGCTTTCTACTGTTATTTTTTTAAGGGGAGTTGTTGTCTTTAACTTTTTTGAGGTTGGCAACACTGCTCATGAAATACTTGACGCTGGGAGTTTTGGCGGGAAATTGATCGGCGGCGGTTTGCTGCTCCTGTATTATTGTTTAAATAATGGTTTGAAGTGGACTTTGATATGTAAAAGTGTTGCGATTTTGTGTATTAAGTGTCTACGCATGTGAACTATTAGTGGAAACAGTGAAGCAAGTGCTCTGATGGTGATGGATTCTCAACATAAGCTGTTTGTTTGCATAGGCACCTTTAGATACCATCACCAACTATCAGCTGTCTGCTGGATCAAGTTGCCGCCAAAATCTCCCAAGAACTGCACAATGTGACGCATCAACATATTGTGAAGCAGTATACTATGAAGGAGTGGGGAAATTACAATAAACCGAATAAAAATACTTAAGACTTGGCCTAAAGGTCTAGATACCAGGCCAAAAAAAAAATACTTGACGCTGGCAGAATTTCCTGTATAGGACAGTTACTATACTCTTTGGGCAGAATCCATTGCAATTGGAAGTTGCCAAAGTAGGAAAAAAAAAAGCTATCAATGAAATTTTAATTAATTGTTATTTTTAATAAAATTAAAATATTGTACTAAATTTCTTATCCATTTTTTACATTCTTCACCTGTCGGTGTACATTTATTATATTGTAAATTTCACTTCTTCAGTAAGAGCTTCAGCTTCAGTAAGCTGAGATGAGCATGAGATAGTTTGTTTTCAGTCATTCGTATAATTATATTGTTGACGCATAGATTGAAAATAAATATCTTTTTATAATGACTCGCCATGCCAGAAACTGTACGGCTGGAGCCGTATATACGTATCATGAGAAAAAGAAAGACGCTGCTGCGTCTGGATATGGTACTCAAAGCGAAAGAGTTGGAAAAGATTCCGTGAAAAACTTTGACTGTTGTAGCTTGACTTTGCAACCGTGCAGAAACCCCGTTATTACAAAAGATGGTTATTTATTTGATAAAGAAGCTATATTGGAATATGTCATAGCAAAGAAAAATGAGTACACTAGAAAGTTGAAGCAATACGAAAAACAATCGAAAAAAGAAGAGGCAGAAAAGAAAGAGCTGGCAGAAGCGGAAAAGGAAGCAAATTTGATTAAATTTATGAGCAGGGAAAAGAATATTTCAAATAATGGTGGAAGTAGTTCAGAAAACAATCCAACGACCTCAAGTTCGATTTCAAATTTGGCAAATGGCAAGAATAAAGAGTTGCCTAGCTTTTGGGTGCCTTCTCAGCTACCTGATGCCAAAATTTCAAAAATGGAAAAACCAGACCCTACAGTATACTGTCCCATCAGTGGTAAACCATTAAAAATTAAGGATTTAATAGATGTTAAGTGGACATTAGTAAATGACCCTGATGACAAAAAGTCATTGATTGCAAAGGAGAACAGATATATGTGCCCAGTTACACATGATATTTTAAGCAATGCAGTACCGTGTGCAGTAATCAGGTTACTATCTTCTTTATTTATTACTTTTATATTTATATAAGTAATGGTCAAAAACTCAAACGTTACTCAATTTTAAGATGTTATTAAGTCTTATGCTGTTGCTATCACTTTAAATCGAAAGTGACTGTAACACCATGAGACTTAAAGGAATCTTAAAATTGAGCAGAATAGTACATATTTGAGCATAAGAGTGACAAACAAGCTCACAGTAAAAAAAAAAAACAAACAAGAGGATAAGTGGTAGTTGTGACAGGCTGACTATTTCACCCTCTGGATGTTATTGTGTACAACTATAGTAATGCCAAAAACATTGTATCTGATAAATGATGGTATAACCATGTCATATCCTAGCACAGCAAAATCCTTTAATAATTCAGCCTTCTGCTTACCAACCTGACGTTTTTATTTTTAATAAAATCTTTCTAAAAGATGTTACTACATACATAATATAATCATGCCTCTTTTCCGTAGGGGTAGGCCGAGACCACTTCTTTCCAACATCTTTGCAAGCAAGCAAAGATGTTACTGTTGCAGAGAAACCTAATTGATTTTTAATTTGATCAGGTCCCATTATCCTATAAATGAATATTTAAAAAAATCTTTAAAGAATATTCTGTTGTAATGCGGAGAAGATGTCGATGGAAAAGATGTTGTTCTTGCTATGTCTTTTATATTAATCTACTTATTCTAAAACTAGTATTAATATATAATATTACGTTGTGTGTGTTACAGGTGTAAGGTAGTACATTACACTATCATAATATGATGAAAATCATCAGCTGTTGTGATGATTGATGAATTTTGTCATTTATTAAAAAGTTCTTTTATGCCTCTCCTGCAATTTGTTTACAAGCACTTATCCATTTACAAAAAAATTCCCTGCCAATTTTAAAGATATCTTTAAAATTGGCAAGACATGGCCTTCTATTGTTGTAAGGAGAATTTGCCTTAATGCTCACACTTGGCAGGTTAATTGACAAATGGCATCCTGTCTGTAATGTGTATATTGAGTAAGCTTTTTTATTTTTTTACTTTGATAGAACTACTGGACATGTGGTGACCATGGAGTGTGTTGAGAAAATAATAAAAAAGGATTGGTTGCATCCTCTCACGGGTGATACATTGAAAGAAAAAGATATAATACCACTGCAAAGAGGAGGCACAGGATATGCTCTTACAAATCAAAACCTTGAAGGAAAGAATGAGAGGCCAGTGTTGCAAGCTTAATTGTATTTGAATCAACTAACAATAAACTTGTACATAAGTAAATAATTTTTTTTATTGTTAAGATATCAATGATAATAATCAAACAATAATTATGAAATTGATTTCTCTGCAAAATTAAAAAAAAAATTATTGGATGTGAAAGGTACCAACATCAAACTCAGAAGCACTATTAAAAATAAAAAAGCGTGTATAAGTGTTGGGTTGCTGGTTTTCAAACCTAGAACCAGCTTTCTTCGACAACTAAAATATATCAATGATAAATTAGTTAGAACTTAGTGTAGTTGGACTCGTTCAATCTGCCTTAATCAGGATCCTAACTGGCTAACTGCAAATACACTACATTGATAAAGGGTGTCTGCTGTGTTAAGTGGGATCCAGTGCTGTGATTCCGTCGTGGGTACTTTCAGCGGGTTTTGTAGCATGCACCCGTCGCACTTGCCGCAGGATTCCCATTTAACGCAGCACTACTAGTACTATTTGATTGTATCAGCACATATAAGCATAGAGTACATATGTACATGGATTATGTATGGCGCTGTAAGAATATCCACTACCTCCTAACATCCACGAGTGTCTTCAGAGACGATAGATGGAAACTAAGAGATGGGAGTCTTATTGATAACTAGAAAAAAAATTGCTGTTACAAACCCACCTGCCAGGCATGCAACAATCTATGAAGACACCAATGTTCAGCAGTGGTATCAAGTCCAGTGGACTGGGGCTGTAATGAACAAATGATGTAGATGGACATGCCTTATTTGTGTGTAAATTAAAACACAGATAGGGGTTCCATTGTTCCTGTGAAAGACAATGACAATTTCTGATATTTTGAAGGCACAGGTGCCACGGTCTGTGATTGGTCTCTGTCTGAAGTTGGATTCTGACTATTATTAGTTTATTCTTGTCGGTGCTTTAATAATAATAATGTCATTCAGACCGAATTTCGGTCACGGCGGTCAGTTTCAAAGGAAACTTGCCATCGGCGCAGGACAGGATTATAGTGTCAGAGTGTATGTGCAAGCACAGGTGCACTCTTTATTCCCTGTAGAAATGGCACGTATTGAGTTCGAGCACTTCATTGTTGTCAGTGTTTACAGACCCCCACATTCTATGTATAATTGTTTTGAAAAAATAATGGAGGAAGTTTTGCTTAAACTTAATAAACAGAATAAATCTGTTGTCGTATGTGAAGACTTTAATAATATCAATCTCCTTGAAACTTCTTTCATGAGTATTAAGTTTAGATCATTGCTCAAATCATACAACCTTGTTAATTTGTTCTTTGAGCCAACACGTATTGCAGGGCCTAGTGCAACTTGTATAGATAATACTTTTACTGATGTTGAGCCCTTGTATAAATTAATTATTCAAAATTTAAGTTCCGATCACTTGCTACCTTACATGCACAAAATACAGTAAGTTAAGAAAGTTGTTCCAATAAATGAACATAGCTTAGATTTAGAAGTAGTATAGTGAAAAAGCTGCCATTTCTTCCATATAAAAACAATACTATTTATATGGATCATTATTTAAAATAAATAGTTTTGAATTTAATATAGCATTTACTTCTAAAACTGTCTTTAAACAGTCGCAAATCGTTTAATGAGTAGGCGACAGTAGGAATCCATAGGAGTGGACAAAAGTTATATCGACCTTTACAATTAAAGATTATATGATCATAGTGTTTCATTTAGAGAATATGTATAAAATTTTACAAATTTGAGAAACAAAATTAAGAATGCCTCTAATTTACGTGGTAGAGCCATGCTGCAGCTATATTAATAGTATAGTTGTAGCACAAATTGGTCGGCTCGACCGGGGAAGGACCACGCTCTCACAGAATACCAGCGTAAAATAGCAGCTTAATGCTGCTGTGTTTCGTATGGTGAGTGTAGAGAACCGGAGACCCATTTTACTGGAAAAGAGGCATTCTATCTTAGTCCCAACGGCTGACAACGCATCTGCATTTTAATTCGCAAGCGAAGATAGATGTAGATGTCTATGGGCCACAGCAACCACTTACCATCAGGTGGACTGTGTGCTCGTTTAGTCACCCTATTACTATAAAAAAAAAAATTAAATGATTAAATGACAGGAGTATAATCAATGGTGAAACTGGCAAGATGAAACTACACAACTTAAAACTTTCAATTAAATTTTAATAATAATTTAACGAAATCAGACCAAGACATTGCAACGGCCTTTGAACAATATTTTACTGACATTCCAATCTTGACTACAAAGTCAATTCCTCCCCTCCTATCGCAGAGTCATTACTCAAACAAAATGTAAATGTCTGTAAAAAAGAATTTGAATTTCATAGAATATTATGAGGTGATATTGTAAAATATTTCAAAACTATCGATATTAAGAAAACAGCAGATCTATGGGGGATTTCTGTTAAAGTTATTGAGTCTATAATAAATGCGATCGCACCCCAACTTGCTATTATTTTCAATGCTAGTATCGAATCTGGTGTGTTTCCTAATTTAATGAAACATAGAAAAGTTATTCCTTTATTTAAATCTGGCGGTACATTGGACCCCACTAATTTTAGACCTTTTGAAAAAACTTCTAGATGAAATGTTTTTTATTTAATGTAAATAAATTACTCTATAACAATCAGTTTGGATTTACAAGTAGTCGCTCGACAACTGATGCCGATGTTGAGCTAATCAAACATATTTTCTGTGCATGAGAAAATTCAGAAGATGCTTTGGGTATATTTTGTGATCTTTCCAAGGCTTTCAACTGTATTCACCAAGAGACATTAATCAGGAATTGGTGTAGCTTATAGTGTAAAAAACAGCGCTTACATAAGTTAAGCGCTGTCTAAATAATAGAACGCAAACAGTTGTTATTAATGGAAGCAGTTCTTCCGGATCGGTAGTATCTATGGGTGTTCCACAGGGCTCAGGTTCTTGGTCCCTTTCTACTCTTAGTTTATATTAATGACTTACCTTACTTGGTAAGGAATAACCATGATATAGTATTATTTGCTGATGATACTTCGTATATTTTCCGACTAAAAGGGCAATTATTGAAATATGACGAATGAATAATGTTATATCAAAAGTAGTAGTACACTGGATTAACATCAATAATTTGCTTTTGAACAGTAATAAAACGAAATGTATTAAATTCACTACACCTAATGTTAAAAAGGTGAATAATACCAGTGTGCTTTTAAATGGGGAGGAGCTGAGCTGGCTGCAGACCTTATCTATCAAAAGATTTAAATAATTTATTAAGCAAAAGTTGTATAGTTAGGTTATTTTAAGAGTATTATGTACTGTAATCTATATTGAATATTAAAATGATTATATTCTATTCTATTCTTACTCTCCTAGTCCGATGAGATGGTAAACAGATAGTACCAGAGAATGATCAGGCGTAGGACCAGCGGTTTCACTTAAAACTAAGAATTCCTAGTGTTACGGCCTACGGTTGCTCCCTTAAAGGATCCAATCCCCCGGGGCCCATCAGCAGAAGACTTCCCGAGCAAACGTAGGTCGGGCCTCCTAAGGCCACGTGGAAGTTCTCTAATTACACTAAATATATGGGGGAGCGTTATACTACGGCCAGTCGACCGGAAGGAATTTGGCGGGGTTCACTTACCTCTATCCAAGGCGACTGGTTCCTCCGGAGTCGGTCAGGTCGCATGTGGTTGTGTAGTGCAAGGGAAAGAATGGTGATGTGGTGTGTATCTGGGTGTGACTGATGGTGATTGAACCTAGACCTTAGCCGTCGGCAACAGCCCGAGCGTCGACACCGCTTCAACTTGAGGGGGCCTTTCGAGGTTATCCACAGTCACTTTCTTGGTTCACCACGATGCCAGTCACTTAACTCTATCGTACGATTAACTAGCTTACAGAAGCCACTAACTATCGCGGGGTATAAGGTTACCGCACAAAACACGCCCGGAGTTTCTAGGTCAAAGGTCACTACCGTTTCGCGTGGCAACAGTTCTAAATACCGAGGCCGCACTAGCTTATATTGTCGAATGCACTTATACAGATTCTAAGTCGGACCCAATAAGTCCCGGGAAAGGCTATCCAAACAGGGAATGCGCGTTATAATTCCTAGACAGGATATTTACTAGACGCCCTAACTATTCCGCGGTTCCCGCACAAAATTAACAGCGTGCAAACATTAGCACATCTGGCAGATGACTCCCTCGCTTGCGACCCGCGCGCCACTGTGACGCTCGGAAGAACTTCAGACCGGAATCGCGCCGAGCCGAGTGACATCTGGTGTCGATTCCGACAACAGAGTTTTGCGCGAACAAACCCCCGTCCCGGACATAAGGATTTAGGTCCGCGAGCAAACCGGTCAGCGGGACAAGGTCGAGACTGCAAGTTGCAAGACCGAATCTACAACCAAACTAGGCCACCTTAGGCAATCTATTAGGTCTTGCAACCCTAATCAACGCCTCAAAGATATCCCTAATGTGGCAAGCCGGAGGGTCAGCCTCCACTGGATGCCCCTCCTGGGCATCGCAGCACTTTAATAAGTCCTGTACTGGACAGAAGTCCGACGACCTCTTTCAAACACCATCTGTGCCCCTATGATTAGTTCCGCAATCCGACCGGATCAGCTCTGCAAACAGTGACGCGACACGAAGCGGCCTCGAGCGGCCTCCTAAGCTTCAGTGCAGAGAGCACCCACAAATTCCACATGAACGTCGTCTGTGGAGAGCCGAACGAAACGCACAGATAGTCCCTAGTATGAATTTTCAACAAGTAGGCCTAGCCAGGCCACCCACCATATTATCATTTACTAAAATAGTGCGGCAGCTGATTTCAATCTGATAATCTCCAAAACTAGCTAGCCTGTTAGACAAGTAGTCCTATGCTCATATTTCAACAAATTTTTCAAAAGCATCAATGTTCAACTACAGAATTAATTCAACCAAATTAATCACCGATGCGCATAGGTCAACTTGCAAATTAAACAAAACAATAACGTAAGGGACAGCCCTACTTCTTAGAAAACAAAAATGATTAAACACTATCCTAAACATAAACATAATTTTTCAAATAGTGCGCCATTCCATTTCAGATGAATTCAAATTTTCCTTTCAGCAAACAAACGCAACAATCAAATACAGTGATTAAATATATGTACAAAACACATGCAGTAGCATTTAAAGGAGTAGATTAAATTCAATTCTTTTAATTTAAACCGCTACAAATAGGAGAATTTCGCGGAAAGCCCAAAGCAATTTTTAATTTTAATTCAAGTATTTTTTTTTTTGACTAAGTGCTCGACCAAACCAAATCTAATACCCCTTGACAGCGTGATTCAACGCTACAGGGGGACCCTAATCTTCCCACCACCAAGGGGAGGCCACATGGCGTGAACCCGAGATAAATAGAGCACAACCTTTAACAGTTGCCACTCGGGTTGTACGCCTTCACTGAGGCCGTCGGCAACAGAACATTTTGACAAGTGGACCGTTGACGGCTTAAGGCTCAGTGGAGGCGGCCGTGGTGGGAACTAAGGCAGCAGCTAGACAGGGCCGCCTCCATCAAATGGGGAACAGTGGTACACCAGTCGCGGCCACTCAGCTAACGGAAGTGAGAAGGGTCCAGCGGACCGATGAGTGGCCGTGAAGTTCCTCTCCACACGCTGAGGGGGGGTGATGACACCCCCGCCCCTGGGGGAATTACCCCCCGACTGGTCGGGGGAGGGACTCCTTTCAAACTTAGGGGCCTGGTGGCTGGACGGCGGGCGCCGACAGTCACCCTGCAGAGGGCGTGGCTGAGCGCCCCCGCCCGTGGGGGTCGAGGGCCTGGCAGAGCCCCGAGAGGAGATGCCGTTCGCACCCAGGCACAAAACGGCATGGTGATTGCCCTGGCAATGCAGACAGGGCCGTCGATGCGGACAGTCTCGCTGGAGGTGCCCTCCCAGACATGACCAGCACCAGCGGCGCTCCTTGGCGATAGTTCGCCTCGCTGGAACCGGCTTACCTAATAATTTCGGGCACGACGTTACCCGGTGATCAGATGCTCGACAATAGGAGCAGGGGGGGGTTGACGACGACTTGCCTGGCGGGTTCAGCCTCTCACTGGGCACGTCTCGCAAGTCGTCAACGGTGCCCGCCGCGTTCTCGATCTGCCGGCACTGCTCCTCCAAAAACCGCAGCAGGTCATAGAAGGGCGGAATATAGGAGGCCTCGTCCCCGCCGTACCTCTCCTCAAAATGGATTCGCAGGTCGAGAGGTAGACGGGACAGCACGATGCGGAGCAACAAAAAAGCCCATTCGCCCACTGGTAAACCCAGCCGCCTCAAAGTATTACAGGCCACCAAGACTGGATCCAACAGGTCCGGACGCAGTCTGGCCCGGTCACTAAGCAGCGGGAGGCTTAGAAGCTGCTTAACATGCTCGTCTGCAATTCGCCGGACGTTGGCGTATCTTCTGGCTAGGAGGTCCCGAGCAGTCTGGTAGGCGTCGTCCGACAATTTCAAGTGGCCGACGACGCCCAGGGCCTCCCCCTCCAGTGAGGCCAGGAGGTACGCCATCTTTTGGCTCGGGGTCAAGTCACTCCGGGCGTCCACTAGGCTGTCGAAAAGACCAACGAAGGTCAGCCATTCGGAAAGGACCCCGGAGAACTTTGGCAGGTCCAGAGTTGGGAGTCGTCCCAACAGCTCCGGCTGAAGCTGCTTCAGAGAGGACTCGGACAGGTTACTCATCCGAGCTTCACGCGCCTCCTCGGCATACCTGCCTTCAGCCTCGATCAACTCGTCCGTGAGCCACAAGAACTGCTCATAGTCCGCGAAGCAGGAGTCCAGGACTCCCTTCTCCACATCCGAATCCTCGAGCTCAGCGTAAGCCTCCTCCACTGCGGCCCTTCGAGCATCCACCTGCTCGAACCGCTTCATCAAGTTATGGACCCTATCCGGTCGACCTATCAAAGCATGGGCGCTTGTGGCCCAGCGTAGCTCAGTCCGCAAACAACGGATCAGTAGCTTGGGCGATGTCATCACTATTAAAGACAAATTACGACGCGGCTTGAGCACAGTTTACAAAGATAACAAATAAAAAATACAACAAAAAATTAACAGTTAATAAATGCAGTTCCTATCAAATCGCGTTGAATAGAAATTACACAAATACGAACTACTTGCTACGTATCAACCAAATACAAATTAGCACAAAAAAGACACAAATCAAATTAACAAATAACAAATACTAGTGCGATCGAATCAAGTTAAATTCAAATTGCGCAAATACAAATTACTACTATTTAGTTCAAATACAACTTACAGTATAAACGAAGATACACATCACGGTCGATCAACAAAAAATGCCTAGCTCGGAAATCGAACCTTCGATAAGTAATCCACTACAACTCTCCGACAACGATAATTAACCGATTACGTAAAAATAACCATCTACCTACATGACGTATATCTCTAGAAAATCTCCCGCTTGCACAACCTAGGGCGCGGCTTTTCAAATTACCCTCTAACCAAAAAAAAGGCAAGCAACAAAGCAACAAAGGAAAATAATTCTATTATTACGTACAAAAAAAATATTTTTACGTATTACGGACGGGCGTGATTGTAGATGCAAATTAAACCAATCACACCAACGCTCCCTGCCACCAAAATTGGTTAATGTTTATCAAACACTATAGTCGGGATCGACCGGGAATCGAACCCGGAACCACGCTCTGCTACCAGTTTGTTACGGCCTACGGTTGCTCCCTTAAAGGATCCAATCCCCCGGGGCCCATCAGCAGAAGACTTCCCGAGCAAACGTAGGTCGGGCCTCCTAAGGCCACGTGGAAGTTCTCTAATTACACTAAATATATGGGGGAGCGTTATACTACGGCCAGTCGACCGGAAGGAATTTGGCGGGGTTCACTTACCTCTATCCAAGGCGACTGGTTCCTCCGGAGTCGGTCAGGTCGCATGTGGTTGTGTAGTGCAAGGGAAAGAATGGTGATGTGGTGTGTATCTGGGTGTGACTGATGGTGATTGAACCTAGACCTTAGCCGTCGGCAACAGCCCGAGCGTCGACACCGCTTCAACTTGAGGGGGCCTTTCGAGGTTATCCACAGTCACTTTCTTGGTTCACCACGATGCCAGTCACTTAACTCTATCGTACGATTAACTAGCTTACAGAAGCCACTAACTATCGCGGGGTATAAGGTTACCGCACAAAACACGCCCGGAGTTTCTAGGTCAAAGGTCACTACCGTTTCGCGTGGCAACAGTTCTAAATACCGAGGCCGCACTAGCTTATATTGTCGAATGCACTTATACAGATTCTAAGTCGGACCCAATAAGTCCCGGGAAAGGCTATCCAAACAGGGAATGCGCGTTATAATTCCTAGACAGGATATTTACTAGACGCCCTAACTATTCCGCGGTTCCCGCACAAAATTAACAGCGTGCAAACATTAGCACATCTGGCAGATGACTCCCTCGCTTGCGACCCGCGCGCCACTGTGACGCTCGGAAGAACTTCAGACCGGAATCGCGCCGAGCCGAGTGACATCTGGTGTCGATTCCGACAACAGAGTTTTGCGCGAACACCTAGTTACCAGCAAAACAGGTTGAAGAATTTTTAAATTACATAATAAAAGTATGTTATGTTCATTAAAATCAATCAATATATTTAAAAATAAGAATTTTTTTCTTTATAAAATTGCAGTACAAATAATTTGTCTTAAAACTATGTATTATTAAATGAGAATAAGTCTAGTTGAAAATCAACTGCATTATTTCTAATTTCAGTCTCTGGGTATGATAGACAATCATTGCCTAACGAGTCCAAAAAATTTAATACTGATTGGTTTTGATTTGTAAGATTGTTTAAAACCAAATTATCATTTTGATTGTTTATATCGTTAACTGTATTTTTATTTAAGCTTTCATATTTAAAGTGCAATAAAGCTGGTTCTATTAATGTATTTGATTCAATATTGTTTACGGTTTGTTCGTTTGTCATAGAAATTGTCCAATCTTTGTTCACAAAGTCTAAATTATTTTCTGTTCCTTTTGCTGGTAAGTCAATATTTTCATTGAATATTACATTACTATTTATAGATTCTGTATTCGATTGTGCGTTATTTTCGTGTATAAATTCATTTTCTATATCAAGAGGCTTTATTATTTGAACTTCATATTTTGGAATTTTTTCTGGATTGATTTGGAATTTACAGAAAACTGTTGACGATTGTTTGATAGGCGACGATCGTATATCGAAGTGTGTACTGTGGAACTGAATATGCGATGGCTTTTTTGTTTCATCTTTAAGAATATCCAAACTTTTATCTACTGTAGGTTCCTGATTTACTTCAGTGGTTACTAATGGAACACATTGAGGTAATAGGTCTGTTTCATTGGTTTCGTTAAACGTAATGAAGTCATCCATGACTAATTCGATAGACGAGTCACATTCAGAATCCATTTTCACTTTTTTTGCGTTCGAGTTTTGCAGTTTTTGCTTCCAGTTTCGTTTGGTGACAGTGGGCCATTTCGCGACAGAATTTATTCTTGCACAATCTTCTACTTCGCTTCTTGAATTAGTTATGTCTTCTATATTACTTGACAGCAAACTTTGTGAAGGTTTGTCTAAGTCCGAATTTAATTGATTAGTTTTTGGATTATGTCTACAGTGTCCTTCAGTGTCCTTAACACAAGTTAATGCATCCATATTTACGTTGTACTTCCCGGGATTCATACCAAACAACCTAAAAAAAAAGTAATTATGTCACAATACTGACTGATCTGAGTATCTTCTGAGACATTTGTATATAAATAGCTTTGTAATTGACAAAACTTTGGTTTCTCGTAAATTGAAATAGTCGGATATCTAAAACCGCTCTTTGAGCACGTTTGTACGTGTCGTAAGAGGCGACAGATGCAATAATTCGCAAATGAAATAGAAGATGGGCAGCACCATCTTTTTATTTTTTATTTTATTAAAATATTAGTAACATCTATATCTATGGGGGAGGCATATGTTGAGCAGTGGACTTTGACAGGTTGTAATAAATACCATAACCATTAAGCCTCATATTATATATTACCCATAGTTGCCACGCTTGGCAAGCGGGTTGGCAAATGCAGTTTTATTTGTACAGCAACAGCTGTTAACAAACAGGAAATGTTTTACGTGGTAGAGCCATGCTGCAGCTATATTAGTAGTATAGTTGTAGCACCTATGGGTCGGCTCGACCGGGGTAGGATCACGCTCTCACAGAATACCAGCGTAAAATAGCAGCTTAATGCTGCTGTGTTACGTATGGTGAGTGTAGAGAATCGGAGACCCTTTTTACTGGAAAAAATGCATTCTATCTTAGTCCTCACGGCTGACAACGCATCTGCATTTTAATTCGCAAACGAAGAAAGATGTACATGTCTATGGACCACAGCAAACACTTACCATCAGGTGAACTCCCTGCTCGTTTGTCACCCTTATTCTATGAAAAAAGGAAGATACTACTGTCCATTTCCTGGTTCAATTTCTCTCTATCGTCTTTTACAAAACTCACAGGGTGATATGGGGTAGTGGATGTTCTTACACCGCCAATACAATGAAAATAAATGTTAAGGTTAAAGTTACCTGCCAATATCGTCATTTATCGTGCATAATTTCGTGCCCTCATTACCCTCGTGCCGCCCATCTGCTTTCTTAAAAAGACATGGCAATAAAGACTTGAACTTCGCAATCAACTGTTCCAACTGCTGAATGAAAATGTTCGCCCGATCCTCTTCTGAACCGCTCTTAATAATAGCTAGGAGACAGTGGAACAGATTCGAGTGGATTTTCGCCGGTATGTGAGTCGGATGATTCTCATAATGCCTTTGCAAACGATATAGGCTGCTGAATTCCTGAAAGTTTAGATTTTATGTTTAGCTTTTCCTTACCTTTACGTCATTAGCTCTAGTAATTTCCTTAGTTCTAGGACAACTAGTGAGTATTCTGATGATAAGTTTTTTTTTAGTACACACCCTACATCATCAGTTGTTTGTTTGTTTGCATCAGTTCTCTATGCAAAGGTTGTTTGGATGAGATTACTTTTAAGAGTGAATTTTTAGAAATTGTACACTATTCATTTCTGTATTTCAGTGTACAATAAAAAATAAGTAAATTAAAAAAAACTACTACTAGAGCTATTTAAAAAAATGCTCTAATTTTTTTTTAAATCGTTACCCCTTACACTAGGATTTTCTCATGTATCGTGGAGGTAGTTTACCAAACACAAATTGCACAAGGACAAACATCCAGACCCGGAACAATTATTTGTAGGCCATACAAATACTTGTTCCGTGCGGGATTCGAACCCGCGGCACCCAGCGCAGCAACTCATTGCTAAGCCACTGCGCCATGGAGCCGTCTTTTTTCCAAGTCCACTTTATTTTTAAGAGCAATGAGGCGACTTTTACCATTATTGAGCATTAAAAGCACTTCAACTTATAATTAATGTTGGCAACACTGGGGAACAAATTCGAATTGATTACGTAAAGTAAAATTTAAGATTATAGCTTAGTAAAAATTAATAGACTATCTTTATGGGCTTTCTATGTTAAATCAGTATCTATAGCATCCTTGCCAGCATCAATTATATTTTTCATAGCAATTTTTAGTGCCAATTTATCATGTGCTTGATGGTGAAGGAAAACATAGTGAAGAAAACTATATATTTAAGAAATAAATAAAGTATTTCAAGGATATATGTGATAATAGCTGTGCCTCGCGGTTTCATCCGCGCCATCACGTGTCCGAGGTGCGCGACATGACCTAGTTCAAGCATTTTATAACGGCTAGGATTTAAGCGTCGTTCGCCCGCCCAGCCAAGTATTGAATTATTTTAATTTTACATTATCTCTTAAACTATGCGTCCAAATAACATGGTATAAAGAACAAAGTTTATCTTCATAAAATTGTCTTGATGATGAAGTAACTTTCGTTCGTAAGGATAAATAGGCCATGCCTAATAATAACGCTCATAAATCACTTAAATTTTCAATATTTTTTTGTCACAAAATACCAAATTATGGCTTATGTATAAGAAATAGACATATGGTATCGCGGACTTTTTTTAGACGGAGTAAAGGTCTATATTTTTCTAGAACATTGTATTTACGTATACCTAACGATAACACCAGCGTACGCGGATAAATCATTTCGGGAGTGGTTTTTCTTCTGACTTGCTTAACAAATATCCATATTCAAGGCTAGCTGAGTAATATAGCTTAATTCTAGATAGCCTATACTATTCCACATGAATCTGGCTATAATATACAAAATTTATACTATTCCACATGAATCTGGCTATAATATATAAAATATAATTTTTCAAATCGGACTGGTAGTTCCAGAGATTAGCGCGTTTAAACAAACAAAAGAACTCTTCCGCTTTATTATATTAGTATAGATGTACACTCTCAACCTAGATCAGGGATGGCAGACCTTTATGTATCAATATGCCATTTTTCTAAAGAAAAGTTTAATGAGGTGACCATAGACGTGCCGTAAAATAATTTTTACTTCGTGGTTACAACCGCGCCCGAACACTTCGTAGCGTAGAATCACTCGCGTTCGTTCGTAATATAATACTTCATAGTGAACTTTGTGATTAGATACTATTATTAACAGTGGTAGAGCCAGGCGGCAGCTTTTGCTGTCGCACGGATGGACCGGCTCGAACCGGGGTGGTACCACGACCTCACAGAATACCAGCGCGAAGTAGAGGTTTACCTCTGCGTTTCGCTTGGTGAGTGCAGGTGGCCGGAGGCCCTTTTTACTGGAAATGAGGCATTCCATCCTAGTCCTCACGGGTGACAACGCATCTATATTTTGATTCGCAAAAGAGGATAAATGTAGATGTCTATGGGCCACAGCAACCACTTACCATCAGGTGGACTGTGCTCGTTTGTCACCCTATCCTATAAAAAAAAACCATTATATATGTGCATTGCACTTGGAATTTTTGTACATGTTCTGGACAGTGTTCAGTTATTATCAAGTCCTTAGTGGTATACAATAGCCAATAGTTTTTGAAGATCCTCTGAATTTTCAAATTCTCCAATCGTATATTATGTTGCTGGCAGTTACTGTAGATAGTTTTCATCTGCATTATTTGCTCAATACATTTTTCAGCTGGATACTCTGCGAGACTTTCCTCTGGGCATAAAAATTTTTCATCGTCGATTTCTTCACAGGGACTCACCGCTGATCTGTATTTCAATCTTTTCACCAATAGAAAAGGATATGATGGGATTATGATGTGGATAACATCGGAATTCGATATTGGAATTGGTATTATTTTGTAGTATGTGTATATGTCTGGTTCAATTAGTGGGATATCTAATACAAAAACTAAACTATTCCTATTGACATAAGATTTAACTACTATTTTTCTTTCTAACTTAATTAGATTTTCCTTATTTGCTGGGTAAATCAATTTGGCATATTTTTCTATATTTATTAACATATTTAATAGTTTTGTTGAATTTATGATTGATTAATGTAAAGTATGTAACTTACTAAAAACAATAGCTGTTTCTATTTCTTGTATTACATCTAGAATTGTTCGAAAATTGTTTGAAATTTGATATAAGGTATTTAATATTGTAACAACATTTTTTAGAGACCTTTCCTTATGAAGTATAGAATCTATTTCCTGATTTTGTAAACGATTGACATTCGAATTTATGTCTTCCGACGCATTAAAAAGCTTGTTAAATGCTTGTTGTAGCAAAGTGACTCGGTGTTCGACCAAATGTTCTCTATTATTCACCTGACTTATTTGTGGGTCGAAGTGCTTAGCGTCTTCTTCATCTAAGTTACATGAGATAACTTTAACTAGGGAACCTAAAGGACTAAATATGGCTCGTTTACTTATTTTAGATATAGGTAAAATCTGATGTATTTTATTATTTGGATTTATTATCTATGGATGTTTCTATTTGTTTAATTAACCCCCTAAATTCATCTCTAAGTTCACTATTATTACTAATAATCTTACTTACGCAATTATATTGTTCATTATTAATATCTATTTGTTCTACTACCAACTTTAAATCTAATGTTTTCAAAATGGTCCATTGGTCCGTGGTTCTGTAGATCTAGGCCGTTGGACAGTTTTGCCAATGCCAGAAGTACTAGCCACGACCTGTGGAGGACGTTTAATATTTTTTTTATAGTTACTCTAGTTTTTCTCTTATTAAGTTTAACAGGTATTATATTATGGTTTGGTTTCCCTATGACTTTGGCTTTTTCAAAACGTGGTTTATCTTTTGCTTTTCTTGTCCTAGTAGTTTTCATAAAAATATCGTCCCCTAGTTTAATTTTTTTTTTGGTACTAAGTGCACCGGTGCACTCCACGGAGAATGAGACTCCTGGATAATATTATCTCGCAACATTTTCTCTACTTGCTGTTTTATTTCTTTAGTTTGTGCAGGTGGTAATCTATGGGCTTTGATATTAATATGGTCCTCATTCTTTGCCTTAATCTTATGCTTAACCTCATTTGTAAAAGACAGCGGTATGTTCTCACAATAGAATATATCCTTATATTCCCTACACAATTTACCTATCACCGTTTTTTCTTCTTCGTTCATGTGATCTAGTCTTAATTTTTTTAAGTTTTCCTCTAGTAATATATCTAAATGATTACTTTTACTTTCTGTGAAATTCAAGTTATTGTTATATGTGTCATGAAAAATCTCAACTTTAAATGGTGACGTGACCACTAATTTTTATTTACTGTCTGTGCAGTTTTGTATGACTGTGGTGGCAAAACCATCTTTGCAATTTACTATCGCGTCAGGCATTCGGATACCTTCTGTAAACTGTACGTAATTTAAAATAGCTTCACCATTTAATAAGATGACCGGTAATTTAACTCTTAATTCGCAGCGAGGAGGCAGATTATATGTCTCTCTCATTGGCGGTGAATAAATAATTGGGATATTAGTATTATTTGTATATAAAGTGAGATTTTTCATGTCAATGGTAGCGTCAAGCAATTTTAGGAGATCACTACCTATTAACCCACCGTATCTTTCGTCTACACTATATACATAAAACTTGTGTTTTTGTGGGCTATGGAAGATACTAGGTAACTTTGCGTAGACAACTTCTCCGTGTTTACTGGCAGCGTGAGTACTAATAACCTCAAACGGTTCTAAGTGTACCGAATCACTATAATATTTTTTTAGACTGATAAATGACCTAGTACTACCAGTGTCTATCATAAAGACAGCTTTTAGTTCAGGTAAAGTTTACGTTTTGCCAGCAACGCAAATTTTAAATGGTTCGTTGCGGTGAAAATATTAGAGCAACTAATTTTTAAACTTGGTATTTAATTAGCACCTAAAAAGCCCCTAATTTGGACTTTTTCTGAAAGCAATTTTGATTCTATTTTGATTTTCAGGAAATCTGAATTTTGCATCTGCTATGTTCTGAATAACGACTTTACTTTTATTAGGGGCGCCTAGTTATTGCGTATATTTGCAGCACCTAATTAGCACTTAATTCCTTGCTATTAATATTTATCGTATATCTAATAAATTCATTGCGTTGCTAGCGAGACGTTTTGCTAGCAACGCAAATTTCAACAGTTCGTTGCGGTGAAAATTTTAGAGCACCTAATTTTTAAATTTGGCACCTAATTAGCACCTAAAAAGCCCCTAATTTTAGATTTTTCCAAATGCAAATTCCGGACTTTGCGTTGCTAGCGATACACAACTAAAATAAGACACTTATGAAGTGTTGTATCCTGTGACAAAATTCCTGATAATTTTCATTACGGTTTAATTTTAAGGATTCGAGTTCCAAAGTCAAACATTCCTCGGATCTAGGATGACCAAAATGTTGGCTTAGTAATCTTTTTAATTCGTCCCAATTATTAATATGATCCCGTTCTCCGACTAGGTTCGCGGCTTCCCCGGATAATCTACTTGTAATAAATAACGTGGAATAAATATTCGTTTTGTAATTGGCTTCCTCGGAATGAATGGAGTATGTACTCGCATTTTTTTATAAAGAGTGGTAAAAATCTAGTGTCACCATCCAAATTAGGGATAATTTTAACCATTTCCATAGGAACTCTCACTAAATTTTCCATTTTTTCTTTTTTGTTACATAATACACTACCAAAATAAAAAATTACTCTTCAATTATTATTAAGTGAATTTATAAGGAAATTAAATGAAATAATTTAAATCCCTCAATTATTTAACTAATTAGAATAATTAACTAAGTGTGAATTTATCTAGTAATTAGGCGTAATTAATCCCACAAAAACCAGAACATGAACACACACAAAATAGGAGAATAAGAAGGGTAGGAAGATACAGATTGGTGAAGAAGATCTACTCACAGTGCTGCAGTTTTCCCCATGCTCCTTCTGGAATATTGGTGCTCCGTCCTTGAAGTTGGTTTGCTTCTTAATAAATGTGTATGTTCGTTTTTTCCCGATCAAAACGTTGAGACGTACGACCGATTTTTCTGCGAAAACTTTTATTCGCCACGAAATAATACTTGGTCTTACGGGTCCCTACCGACTGCGCCAATTAAGATAATGAACCAGACTTCTATAAAAAATATATTTATTTATTTTGATAGAGTTACAGTAAGAAGTTTATTACTACAATATTCAGTATTAACTGATTACAGTTGTCTATTAATTACTGCACAGCCAGACCCAGATGGGATTGCTCATGATGTGCGAACAAATGAGATTTGGCAGCAGTGCTCAGCTTTAACTTGTGCCTTTGGTTCGCTATCCCTGACTTAGGTCAATATCTGATTGATAAGCTGAAAAACTTACCAAGGAACACTGAAAGCAGGAAACAATAGTCCCATTCTTCTTTCTCGGTTTGTGTGGCGTTTCCTCTTCTGTTGTGTGATGTTTAGGTAGTTTCACTTTTCTTCCGCTTCGGGTCACTTTTGTCTGTAACATAATATTCAACGTCATCAGAACAAAGTGATTTGGAAAAATTTAAAGTCTTGGTGTAATTTTTTTCTTGACGAAGAAGAAGAAATCACTGAACATACATCAACACATTTTCGTTAATGTATGTTCAGTGATTTCTCGGAAATAGTTAATCGATTTTAATGGCTTTTCCTTTTTTTTTAAATAGATTATACTTCAGATGTGATTTTTAAAGTAACTATTTAGACGTGGTAGAGCCACGCCGCAGCTGTGTTATGGTTGTAGCACGATTGTGTTGGCTCGACTGGGGAAGGATCACACATTTACAGAATACTAGCTTAAAAAAGGCTAATACTGCTGTGTTTCATATGGTGAGTGTAGAGAACAGGAGACCCTTATTACTTGAACAGAGGCATTCAATCTTAGTTCTCAGTGTTGACAATGCATCTGAATTTTCAATCTTAATTGAAGATAGATCTAGATAGTCTATGGGCCACGGCATCCACTTACCATCAGGTGAACTGTGTTGTATGTCACCTAAATTCAATATAAAAAAAGACAATATTGTTGTTATCTTGAACTTTTGATATTCCTTTAACTCCCCAAGAGGGTATAATTAATTCCCCTTTCAAAAATTAAAATTGATATCAAAAAAATTTTTTTTTGAGTTTCATATAATTTCCACATAATAGCTTCTGCAGTTGGGGATTTAATTCTGCAATACTTTAATATTTTTGTTTTTGAAGTCATTTTCACTATTTTTTTTAAGTTTTTTTTTTAAATACCTCAAGCACTGCTGCTGGTTCTTCATGAATTTCTTTTTCTATTATAGGTTTAACTTCTTTTTTGTCTGGTTTCTTCTTAAATATAACTTCTTCTTCTTTCTTAATATTATCTTTCTTAACTTCTGCTCTCTTCTGTTTAAATATTAATTTATTCTTACCAACTATAGTCAAGTCTTTTGGTGATAGGACTCTGAAATTTGATAAAAAATTGTTCAACAGCTCGCTTTGCGTACTGCATATCATATGTAACTGGAGTTAAACCAAAAATGTCTAAATACAAAGAAGCTACATCTTCACATGTACCTCAGGGCGTTATTTTTGACTTAACTTCCTATTGACTTAACACTAAGTTAAGTCAAAAATAAGTTATTAATATTATTTGTATTTAACACATATAAAATAATGGATTTGATATTAATAATGGTTGAAAAATGTAATTTAAATTGGAATGTAAATAACTTACTTATATATAAAGCGTGTGTTAGTGATCGGGTCATAAGCTGGCTCCTTGGGTGTTTTCTTAGGGTCACTAAATATTTTTAGAGCGTGATTCACTATTTTCATCTGGTCATCACTTAACTGATTAAGACTGTAAAAAATATGATAATTTGCTTCAAATTTTGAATTAAAATAAAGCACTGTGTTGGGCTCACCGGTAATTTAGACACATAGATTGTTTTTATTGTTTCCCTCAATACATTTTCATGCATTACATAAATTGAGGTAGCTCCAGTAAGTTATAAAATACTTGTGTTGAAACTACCTCGTTGCTTCCCTTAAAGCTACTTTACAGTATTGAGACCAATCCATACCAAATAAGAGAAAAATAAAATTCAGAAGTGAAAAAGAGATAGAGATAGTGGACAGCTAAAAAGTATGTGTGTGTGTGTGTGTGTGTTTGCGCACGCGTTTTACTTAGCTGGTACTGATTAAGATAAGCTCAGTTTCCTCATATGTATGAGCTTTTACCCACTCTATTAAGGCTTGTTTACTTGTACGGAGCAACATAGGGTATATATTTAGTTAAAAATTCAATTTATTATATATATATGTTGATTGTGTGGTATACTGACGTCTGGCAAAAACAGTATGGACCCTAGGGGAGTATGCCACAATATCTTTGCGTCTTCTATCCAGGTTAGCTGGAGTATATGAGAGTGTCTTATGCAAGTGCAAGGTTATTTTTAAGAGGTATAGTTTTCTGACCGTAAGTAAATCACTTAACCTGTAAAGTTCTACTGTAGAGTACCTGTGGGACTTAAAATACATTACTTTTAGGAGCAACCTCTGGGCTCTTTCTAAATCTAAAAATTTTGTTTTTGTGGCACCTCCCCATACCAGTATACAATACGTTATGACAGATTGTGCCAGAGCAATGTATACCTTTCTTAATAGCTGATCTGGCATAACGTGACGCAGATTTTTGAAAATCCAAATGAGTTTCCTGACTCTAGTCAAAATTATTTCAATGTGGGAGTGCTAAATAATAGATAATGTTATTGTTTAAGCAAAATGTAACTGAAATGTTACGTACACTTAGTTGGTAAGTCAAATAAATAAATAATATTGAGCACCACTCACAACTTCACAGATTTCATATAATTGCTACACTACCAGATGTGAGGCATCTAAAGTGTTGCTTCTCTTAGTTGGGTATTCTTTAGATCTGTCATATTAAATACTTTTTTTTATATAGAATAAGGGGAAAACTGAGCACACAGCACACCTGATGTAAGTGAATGACATGGCCCATATGAAGAACAATGGCAGGAAAATAGTTAGTATATAGTAGTAGTAAATTATTGCGTCTATAAATAAGTTATATATAAAATGAGTTTTATTACTTTTCTAATTAAAAATTTAATTAAAACCACAGAAAAAAACAAACATTTTTGGGAATATCAAATGACTTTAATCATTTTTCTCTATTCAAGTGTTACCATTTACTATATTCATACTATTTTCGTATAACTTTGTAAGACTACCAATACAACACACAAACAAAATATTTTTATATTAAGTTAATATTAGTAATAACTATATCATCAGTAATAATAAAAATAAAGGTGATATGGTTGAAAATAAGTCTCTTACAAAGAACTTCCTACAATAATACTCATTATCTCAATCATACCACTAATGTAACAATTCCATTTTATGTTATGGTAACACTAGCTAAGACAAAATGTCACTGTTTTTTTTTTACTGTGTTTACGGCTCTGGGTTCTAGTCGTTCTGAGAATGTCACTGTATGACACAAAGGCCCCGGAGCCATGACAGAAATATATATTTATAGTATGCAAATATATAATAGAGATACAATAATCTAAAAACTCTTAATTATGTAGGTAGGTACATTATGTAGAGAATGTATTAAGCTAACAACAAACAACCATAGGACGCATTTTTTTCCAAGTGACTAGACATAACCTAAAAAGGTTCAAATCTAAATATCGTTTTTTTATGCCTTCTCAGGACAAAATTCTTCGACAGAGTTATTAGGGGACTGACGCTTAACATTTTAAGATATTTTTGATATATAGACGCTACCATTCCTTCTCAACTAATTTTATGTATGAAAGTCTGCCATTGTTCTTTCTATCCTTGATCTATCCTTGATCAAGAATAAAGGGTTTCAAAATATATACGAATAAATTAAAGTGGTAATGAACAATGGACCATATTATGACACGAAGTATGGACAATCACTATGTTATGGAAGAATCTCTAGTGGTAGCCTTATTAGCAAGAAAAATGTAAGGCAATCTCAAACTAAATGTAGTGACAACCTGATAAGTTATGGATGAAGTTAATGGACGCCAATGGCTCTGAACCATGCTTTCAGGCAGTCTGAGGCAATACCTATGTACAGATGTAGATGTGGTGGGCTACAATATTAATTATGGTAATATTACTTTCATGTTACTTGTCCATATAATTAATGTCCTCTAGACCGAATTTCAGTTACAGCGGCCAGTCTCATCATAGACTAACTATCTGCACAGGACAGGATTATAGCACCCAAGTATATGTGCAAACACAGGTGCACTCTGTATTTCCTCCCTCTCATAGTCCAATAGGAATATAATTGGACACAACCGGAGAGAGATCTGGCGAGGAACCAACGGCTTTACGGTACATGCAACGGTTTAAGGTACATGGGAGAATTTCTTTCCAGAAAAAGCCAATGACTGATTTTTAGCTAGGATTCGAACCTGGAACCATATATTCAGCAATCATGTTTACAACCACTAGACCAATGAAGCAGTCAATGCTGTCCATATAACAAATAAATAATACAAAGTATGATGAATACATAGTATATGAAAACATATATTTTTTATGGATGAAAACAATAGTTTTATCATAAAAGTCACACTAACCTGTGGTATGTCTCACCCAGTTTTAACAATTGCACTGATGTGTGTTTGGAAGGATTTTGAGAGCTGGAAGAAATAACCACAATTTTAAAATTTTTTAAATATAATATGTCTCAACAACAACAATGCCAGTCTCAGTGGAAATTAGTCAAATATGCAGGATAGGATTAAAGTGCACGATTGTGTACGCAAGTACAGGTGCACTCTCTATTCCCTCACTTTCATTGTCCGATGGAATGGAAACCTGACACAACCAGGAGAGATCAGGTGCAGGATCAACGGCTTTAGGTGTTTGTCAAGGCATGGGGAGTAACACCGCCTACTTACTGACTCCGAGGTGCTACTGAGAATTGCTCAATCCAGGATTCAAACCCGGGACCCCTGATCAGCTGCCGTGGTTACAACCATTAAGCCAATGACGCAGTTATCAAACATATTATTCTAATGATAACTATAAACTGTATTGATTGTGTAATAGTGTGATGCTTTTTTAATTTCTTGTTCTTACTTTTTCGTTACTCTTAATTTAATTCTGCCAATATCATGTCAGTCATGGGAGTGACAGCAAAATTATTATGGCAATAAAATGGTAAGTACACAGGATGTTTGTGAAACGCTCCCGAAAACGAAGATAGATGATAGTACTAAGGACACCTTTCATCATGGGTCACAAATAAATTTGATCCCGAGGAAAAAATAATCATCTTTTCACAATGTTTTATTAATTTTATTCACGCTCCATCATGTTAGTACAGCTAAATGAAACGATAATTTCATAAAAAAATCATGAAAATACTTAATCATAAAACCAGCAGTGAAAATTAAAATAAAATCAGCTGAAAATGGGATCAATATTCTCGGAGACGCCGAACTCTTATAGGTCCCGTCACGTAAAAAGAACGCTGGCCTTGAACCTGCGCACTGTGCGATTTATCGATCAAATTGGGAATGCTCGCCAGTATTGATGTGCGCGCATGCTATTGTTTCCTCATACTTCCCTCGCTTTGTTCACTCCCAAAATACAGTCCCACACACAGCTTTCTTTGCACGACTCGCGACGATGGTTTTAAAAAGGAAGGAGAGAAAAGTTATTTATATCTATTGTTTTACGACTGAACTAGTGAACGAAATGGTAAATATGATGGGAGAAGGTGAATGGGGAAAATTGTGCTTAGTAGTAGTAGTTACACATCCTACTAGGCTCATGGTGCGAACTAAGGGGGTGGTAGATTTTACGCCGCTACCATACGGCGAGGAGCCGAGTCTGTCGTTTCGGCTTTGTCGCTCGTTTAGCACCACCCGGGGGACACGTGTAGGGTGGGCCTAGGATTAGGTGGTCGAAGCCTACGGACGCGAGCGACTCATCCCCCAGGATGTGTGGCTTCCCCGTGGCTGTTTAACCTATTTATGGACAGTTGTTTGCAAACTTTGAAAGTTGAAGAATGTGGGTTGAGAATGGGTGAGTCAACCGTCAAATGCCTTTTGTACGCCGATGATCAAGTCATATTTGCATCGTCGGCGGCCGAGTTGCAAATGATGGTTACTTTAATGAATTGTTCATTGAAAGAAAGGGGTATGAAAGTGAACGCAAGTAAGACGAAAGTGATGGTTTTTGAAAGAGAAGAAAGTAAAACTTTATGTAAAATAAGAATACAAGGGGAGTTGATTGAGCAAGTGGATGAGTTTGTATATTTGGGATGTTTATTTAGCAGGGATGGTAGATATGATAAGGATATAGAACGACGAGTGAACGCAGGAAATAGAGTGAATGGGGCTCTACACGCTATTGTGAGGAGTCAGAATGTGTCAACTAAGGCACGTATGGCAATTCATAATGCTGTGTTAGTACCGACTTTAATGTATGGTAGTGAAAGTTGGGTCTGGCAGAAGAAGCATGAGAGTAGAATAAATGCTGTAGAAATGCGTTCCTTAAGGAGTATGCTAGGGCTGAATCTGAATGACAGGGTGAGAAATAGTGTAATAAGAGAAAAGTGTGGTTTGCAAGATGACGTTGTGACAAGGATTAAGAAAGGAATGCTTCGGTGGTTTGGTCACGTAGAAAGAATGAACGAGGAAAGAGTGACAAAGCAAATTTATGTTGCAGAAGTGAACGGCAGGGTCGGGAAGGGACGCCCTAGACGAAGGTTTATCGACCAGATCGGCGATACATTGAAAATGGGCCAGATTAGGAGTACCCTTAACCGACGAGCGTGTATGCGTAGATATATGGATGTGAAAGAGGCGAGAGAGGTGTGTCAGGATCGCGCCAAATGGAAGTCCGTAGTCTCTGCCTACCCCTCTGGGTGACAGGCGTGAGTGTTTATGTTATGTATGTTATGTTTTGGTAGTAGTTAAAAATATTGAGGAAGAATACCGAAAAAATTACCATGTGCTCGACCTGATGACGGAAGCTCAAGCGAAGATGAAAGTGATGATGAAGTAGCATCCAGTAACACCAACACCCAAGATGATATAATGGGCGGCGTGTCACCCTTAGCTTAAGTTTTTTTACAAACTACCTTATATTTTACGACAGAAACAAAAATATAACACTCAAATAAACATTATTATTTTCTAAGTACTTAGCTAGTAAAGTACCTATTATGATTCTACAATAAAATAATTAATTACTATAATATTATAAAACAATAGCCTAGTACCATTTAGTACTTTAGAACGCGACCGTACCCATGCGTAGACACACTCCCTCTACTGTCACACTCAGCGTTCTTTTTACGTGACGGGACCTGTATCTAGCTCGTTGCGAAACAATGCCTACTCACTCTACTCTTCCCTTTCACACAAGCGCTATCGCCGCCCGGCCAGCTCCTGTCGCCTCGCGCTGTGGAATTTACACATGTCAGCTTTGCCAACATGTGGGGAATTTCCGAAATTTCAGGGAATTTAAAGTTGGTTGGAGATTTTATGGGGATTGGTATTATGCGAGTATAATACGGGGATTTTGAAAATCGATAGCCAGGGCGAAATCAGAACCTTTTTTCAAGAAATAACTATCTTAACATTTTGTTAAGTTACTTATGAATATCGAATGACACCCTTTTTTTAATTATCTTCATTGCACGACATTTAATTTTCGGATTTATTTCAGCAACTTTTGTGTATCATTTAATGCTTTTTATTTCTTTATTTTTTAAGTTTAAAGAAAAAAAATGTTATATTAGAAAGTAAATCTTATAAAATTAGTTGAAAATTGATTCATTTCTTAAAATAAAATTGAGGGGAATTTGTCATGAATTTTCGGTGAATTTGACAAATTGGTGTTGGCAACGCTGACATGTTGCGCCGAAATTTAGTTTGCCGGCGACATAAGAATTAGAGACGGCAATCATAATAAAACTTGCAAGTAATTTTTAATAATTTTGACATACCTCTTTTTCAATTCAAAGTATTGGCCGGATTAAATATGGAAAGTCAATTAAAATAAAGTAAAAGTATTATTTTTTACATTAATTCTGATAGATAAATTAACTGTCGATCATAATTGCAATTGATTTTAACTATTAAATTATATTATATCCTATACAAAATCAAAGGTAACAATGAAATAGTGTTTATAATTGTGTGAGTACTGAGTACCCAATTAGGTAAGTTTATTAATTTCAATATAATTTTTGTAGTAAAGAACTGCTTGTTCCGTCAGGGTACAATAGACTGTGTAACTGTATTAAAAATGACAACCATAACTTCTAAATTCCATATGAAGACTAGTCTTAGGGATAACTAAACTTATAAATAAAATAAACATTGGCAATGTCGTAAGGGTTTTACGGTCTGTGGTAGTAGCTCAGTGCTTCAAGGACGAATGCGTCGTGCGCATTTGTTTTGGCGGCATTAATTATTAATTTTAGTTTTTGAGATAGTTCCGTGTTGGCTATCACGTGCGCGTGAGCGACAGTTCAATCGTTTTCTTTATTACATTCTTGTTGTTACGTTTTGTTTTAATAATGCCTAACGCGTAGGTACGTTTATAGTGCTCGTGAATACGGCAACATGTTAATGTGCTTTGGAGAATCTCATAAGATTTAGATCGGTAAGCTGTTTCACACCTAATTTTTTTAAATAACTTAGTACTGAACTCATCTGAATAGGTAAATAACAGAATACTTCAGAATAATAAACATATACCTACACAATAGATAAAAAAGCATGGCTCTAACCTTGTTAACATTTCATTTAAGTATTTTTTTTATTAGCGGGGAATCGAACCAGATATTTGGTTTATTTAACCTGTGAATAAAGGGGTTAGGTGGAGGCAAGCACAGTGGCAAAATAGTAGATTAAGTAGATAAGTTAGGTATTTAGACAAGTGTTGTAAGTTATTAGGTAGCTAGCGGGTCGCGCAAATTCAGCGTCCATGCTTACATTGACCCCTAGCCAGCTGATGTTAATTCAGTAATTCCACTGCTGCTCTTTTATGAAATTATCGTTTCATTTAGCTATACTGACATGATGGAATGTAAATAAAGTTAATGAAATGTTGTGAAAAGATGATTTTCATTTCCTCGGGATTGAATTTATTTGTGACCCATGATCAAAGGTATCCTTAGTACTATCACCTGTCTTTGTTTTCGGGAGTGTTTCACAAACACCTGGATACATATGTCATAGTTTTATGATAAAACAAGAAGAAGACTTATTACTTAATCTTATCATTAACCTGAACAAATCCAGATTTTTGATCAATGAAAATATATATATGCCTGCAATATATTGCCATCACCAATCCACCTGTTAAGCATTGTAATTATGGCAAATCTTTCCCACAAGAGGTAAGACCATATATAGGAGAAGTTTATAGGCTGATAATAATTAATTTTTTTAGCTTGTTGTATCCTTAATTTAGGATCAAAAATCTGGATTTGTTCAGGTTAATGATAAGATTAAGTAATAAGTCTTCTTCTTGTTTTATCATAAAACTATGACATATGTGAACCATTTTGCCATGCTGGTCTGGTAATTTTACATTTAAAATAAACAAGAAGGTTATATACAGCTGTGGTAGCTCAGGGGCTGTTTGCTGTAAATTTCACAGCAAGCAACCCAGGTTCGATCCCTACCAGCACCAATGAAATTGTTAATTACAATTTTAAGTGTTGATTTACCACATGCTGGCATTGAAGGAAGACATTGTGAGGAAACAAAAAAAAATATTTCAAGGACATGTGAAGCCAACCACCATGCAACGCAGTGCGGTAGACACTTCCTTGCCCTCAAACCTGTCAGAAATGAGAAGAGCCCTGTGCCCAGCATGGTATGTATATACTTTACTTTAGATCGCTATATCACTAGTTTTTCAATACTATGAGATCTTTTTATAACCTTGGGATGAAATGTCATGATAGATTCTCTTAGGACACCACCACATAATTCATTCATCACAGACTATCAAAGGTCACTGCCGAACATAGGCGTCAACCATAGATTGCCTTTTTAGGGGGATATTTGCCATAGATAATATTCTTGTAATGTTAAGGTTGGCAACCACAGTTTATAATTATTTTGAGTTGTTATCCGGAAGAAGCCCATCTCATGTTTCAGTTTCCCTCTGTTGCGTCTTACAACAACAAATCATATAGGATCATATAAAAATAGCATAGTATTGTTATACAGAAGTTATAGTTTACAATATAATAATATAATTATCAAATTACAATTTAGAAGTAGAAAATATAGCAATTTTCTGTATTGTTTACATTATATGAAGATACAATTAAGTGTGACAAACAAGCACACAGTTAATAATGTAGCCCGTAGACTCAAGACGGAATACCTTGTCACAGGTAAAAAGGCTCTCCTATTCTCTACACTAAAATACAAAACACACCAGTATTATGTTGCTATTTCACCTTGGTATTCTGTTAGTGTGGTCCTCCTTCCCTAGTCAAGCAAACCCATTGGTGCTGCGTCCATAACATAGCTGCAGCATGACTTCATCTCAATCTCATTTAAATTCTATAAGAACAGACATTTACAATTCTAGCGCCTTTCAGAATAATATTTGCTTTACTTATTAAGGCTGTAAGGGCCATAATATAGGGTTGTAATGAGATACACAACCATAGAAACAACATGTAAAATGTATCTCAAATTCCAAATAAAAAAATAAACATGGGTTAAAAATTATTCATAGGTTTAAATTTATAACATTGTATGATAAACTTACTTCTCTTTTGGTTTTGTCTTTGGTAACTTTCTTCCTTGGAATGAGGTCTTTGTACTGTTTGGGATGCTCTTTAACTTCACAATCTTCCTATTAATATCTAATTTCGGTACAGTATTAACTACATTGGTGATTGTGTGTGTGTTACACGAAGATACAATAGGTTTTATTCCTATGTTATTCACTGGTGCAACATACTGCTTACTTGTATCATTTTTAGGTAAAAGAAAACTTGCTAATTTCAAATTGTTCCCCACTATGCTACTATCAACTTTTTTAAGTATCTTCGGCTCACACTTTTTGCTTTCCTGGAGGTTATTTGCTAATTTGCCGCTATTTTCGTAAAAGCTTTTTAAGCTGTCACCTACTGGCTTTTGTGAGTATTCATCGCTTTGTGCCAAGACGTATGATCTAGTCTAAAAATTAAAAACTTTTGAAAAAGCTTTGTAAACACACAAGCAACAATATAAATAGTAAATGCACCTACCGGACTAACGCTTGGATTCTGTATCACATAAACGGGTGTATATTGACATGAATTGATTATTATATTGCCTGGTGACGCGTTCATTTTTCTTAAATTATCAAGTTAATTATGTATACACCTTTAATTCATATCAATAGATAAAAATAAAATAAAACTTGTTCTAAAATATGTACTCTTTTGTAGTTGTGAGCAGTTGTGAGTTATGACATTTTAGTTTAGTGGTACTCTGTGCATTTTAGTTTAGTTCACAGACTAACTAGTAGCAGTGTTGCCAACTGCTAGCTTTACCCAGTTACTAGATTTTTTTTTGGAGTTTATGGCCTGGTATCATAGACTTTGTATCTTATAGATTAAACATTCCGTGACGACATCAGTGTGTGAAAGGAATGCACGTATATAGTTAGACATAAGAGTAAGGGAGAAGCAAATCTATATTTCTTGTCTTTTTCTAGGTATGCGTTTTTGATTGTTTTCCCTCCTTTATTTGACATTAACGATGTCAAGCTCTTGTGAATAACATTGATATTATAAGCAAACAGGTTATTGAATTTAGTGTTGTTTGTGGGTTTTAGTTATTAGGTAAGGTTAAAAAGGTGGTAAGTTGTAGCAGTTTAGGATGCAACAGCATCAGTCAACGAAAAATTGATAATATTACCTTTCATCGGTAAGTTTGTTTTGTGCTTACATTTGCTACTTGTACTGATTAATATCTATTGTTTTGAATATAAAGTGTAACATTTCATGTGTTAAATGAACTTTGTGATGTATTTTGTCAAATATTTGGACTCCCAAATTGTAAATTCTTCATGATAATGCTCCTTAATTTGAACGGTCATACGAAAGCTTAAAAGTCATAACAAACGTGTACTTTTTGATTTGGTAGGATTATAGAAACTTTAGGGATATCAGCGAGTACAATAATGTTTTCGCATTGTTGAATAATAATTGTTATTGTGTTTAGTAGTTATGTCTATAAATATAAATCACATAATGTTATACATATACATACACTTTAATGTTCAGCTTTAAAGGAAACTCCTTATTGCCCTACAACTCTTCAATCATTTTCCATATTACATAGACGTCACAAATAATATTATGTAAGTATCAACTTGAAAACATGTTTGGATTCAAGTACATAAACATTTTTTTCATTGCCTGAAATCAGATGCACAAAACTTTATTGCATTCCATTAATTCTATTATACATTAGCAACAATTACATTACAATATTTATTAAAAAATAAATAAATATGCCATACTAATATAAAAATAAATATAAACATAGATAAAATAATAAATAAATAAATAAGTCTTAATCTTAAGGTACACAATAACACAACAACATAAGATAATATTCTCAATTAATGATGTAGAAAAAATTTGATGATGATATACTTACCGTTACCATTAGTCAGTATCAAAAGTCAAAAGTTATAGTTTTTGTGATAGTTGCCTAGCTTGGCAGGAGAATTGGCAACTGCAGTTATTTGGAGACAAACTGTGTGGGAGGCCTATGTTCAGCTGTGGAGGACATAACTATGTTAAACTATAAATGTATTAATTAACAATATCTGAAGCTTAATATGTACATACATTTTTTAAATGTTTGGTATGAGTAATATTATCAATACATTTACATATACTTGCTATTTAATTAAATCAATTGATATTGTATTAATTGTTATAGGTATTGTATTTATGCACAGATACCCATACTTGATTTATTTTTTGTTAAATGCCTTGATATTAAAGTGTGCTATATATTTAATATATTAATTTCTTTTAAATATATTATTTCACAGCTTTTCTAAGGAATCAGCTATTCGTAACTGTTGGATAATCGCTACTGGTAGGAATTATAGGTAACCAACAAAACTTAGCAGTATATGCTCAAAACATTATGAGCCTCATTGTTTTAGGTGGACTAAATATACTTAACTTATGTAATTTATAATATAATTAAGATATTTTTTTTAAATATTATAATTTCTTGTTGTATCTTGTTGTTTCTCCATAAGTGATATAAGTTTGACCTTGTTAGTAGTTATGATTTTTGACATTGTTCTGTATGTATTAAACATTGACTAGCATTGCTTATTTTATTTTCAAATGCTGACATTCTGTATTATTAAGAGCTGTAATAATTTGGTTGCATGACAATAACAAAATATTTACTTATAGATGGATTGATTAAACATGAATCCTCATTTACAAATGTTGGAACTTTATCTGTATTACCATGTTTTATGCAAATAAAGATTTAAATAAAAGAAAGAAATAAATAATTTAAAGTCCTGACCTAAATATACAAATGAATAATTTATTATGCAATAATAATTGTAAACCTGACTGGGAATGCCAACCAATGGGATATTTAGTCCACCCTTAATCCCTTTTATAAAGGTGTTATAAACAATAATGTGTAAATAAATGTTAATTGTCATAAATAATGTAACAAAGATCTTTTTGACAAGAGATAAGTATTACCTATCTAAGTATAATTTAGGAGTTGTACCTTATTATTTATACCATTAAAATATATTATATACAAGGCATAATATATATATATATATATATATATATATATAGAGATCTCTTCACGGTAAATGTTGATCAGACGCGACTTCACGCGAGCACTTTGTTGATCCGAAAATGTATGTTGATCCGACGCCTTTTCTTGATCCAATATGCATCTCTGGTAACTAATGTTGCTCCGACAGGATCAACATCTACACTCACGGGACTACTTACTAGCGTTCCCCGAAGTTGATCTGATATACAAATCCACCTTGCGATAGTTACGCAAAATGTTGATCCGATTTAAATGAGCCAATCAGAGCACATCAAACGATCGGATTGGCTGAAAAAATCCGCGACGTTGCCGTTTCGTTTCTTTGGCGGTGGCAGCGACAATATTGCCTAAGGTGGACTTGAAAAACAAAAACACTGCTTCACTATATCAAAATAATAATCACAAACAAAACTAAAATATCTATCAAAGAAACATAGAGTAATCAATAACATTGCAACCTGACTTACTTATTAGTCGCTAGTCACTAGAATTAAGGATGCATTTGCAAAATTGATAGTTATAGAATCGAACTATTATATAATTTATTATAATAATTTTATATAATAATTTTACAAGTCCAAGAACATCTAGTTCGACATTTCCTTGGACCTGCAGCATCAACCACAGAAAGTAATCTTCCTCAAAGATCTTCAATCTCCTGTAGCTTTCCAAGATCTTCAATTGCTTCTTCAAGCAATTCTGGACATTCTCTGGAAGAAATACCACGAAAAGCCGACAATAAACTCGTACGAAATAGATGCACTGCTATGTCAAATTGAAAAATGAAGGATTATTGGCTAGAAACGCTAAGCAAGTACACACTGAGTGCAAAAGGTGTGAAAAGGCATTCAGTTTAAAATGTTATAATGAGAAACATGCTTGATTTTATAATATTTTCTTTGAATAAAATCCTCACCTTCACTATTTGAGTTTTATTTATAGCAAGTTTATTGTAGTTATTAAATGACAACTTTAAAAAAAATTGCGAAGTTTTCTTTTATTATTATAAACAATAGGTTTTTTACTATACGTCCACGTATGATTTAAAACAATATCACGTCACGTTCATATCAACAAATGTGCCTTAAGTTGTATTGAGAAATGAGTCACCTGTGACTCATGAACTTATTGTAATACGTTCCTGTGAGTCATTTATGACTCATTGGAGAGGGAAGTTGAGTTTTCCCCGGGTGTTCATGCAGCGATCACTCAAGAGTTCACGACGCCGACACATGAACTTGAACAGTCATCGCAGTTTATGTCCGTACTAGCTGTTGCCAGCGGCTTCGAACGCATGTAACTCCAAAATTATGCAACAGAAACAAAATACCTGAATAAACGGTATCATATGTGTTATATAAACCTATCTCTGAGCAAAATATCATCCAGATCCCTTCAACCGTTCTGGCATGATTGAGTAACGTACATCCATTCATCCATCCATCCAAACATCCAAACTTTCGCATTTATAATGTTTAGATAATAATTATAATTAATTCAGCCTATCTATAAATTGTTTTCTAAAATACTTACTAACCTGTGTTCTTACTTTTTTTATGTACAAAATCTAACGTAATTAACGCGCATCCTCAGACACCCCAATTAGTATATTATGTTATAATCATAATACATTATTTTTAATTATTATTATATTCTTACTAAAACATGTTTATGCATTGATTATTTATTAAATTAGTTATACTAATTCCGGAAGAATGTTGTGGTCACCGTACAAAACCACGAACGCTAGGTGTAGGTACTTGCTAGTTTTTTTTTTTGAATTCGCATAATATTTTAATTGTATTTGTAAATAATAATGAACTGCTAAAACTAACATAATTCAAAGACGGCGTGTTTAAAAGATGTGAATCAAGATTACAATAATTTTAAGAATCAAATATTTAACTTACTGATAGCCTAAACTCTCATGCAACGTTGTATTTAAACCACAACGGCTCCGTGGCGCAGTGGCTTAGCAATTGAGTTGCAGCGCTAAGGACCGCGGGCTCGAATCCCGCACGGAACAATATTTGTATGGCCTACAAATAATTTTTCCGGGTCTGAATGTTTGACCTTGTGCAATTTATGTTTGTACACTGCCCCCACAATACAAGAGAAAATCCTAGTGTGGAGGTTACGTTTTAAAAAAGAAAGAAAATAATTTAGAAAGCAATTCAGTGTCATTTTTCACTATTCTAAAATCGTCACAAAAAGGTCCTCGGCACTTGTTGGCTCACTAAAGTAAACTAATGATTTAATACATCCCCATAAAAAAAGTCAAGAGGCGTCAAATCAGCTGATCTGGGAGGTCAGTGGCCTGGCCGCCGCGACCTTTATAAGGCACTCCAAACTCTGTATTTGTAAAGACTTTAACGTACTTGAAATAAGGTTCAATTTTCTTTATTTTGTATTGAATGACGGAATTTGTATTTATACAAGTAAAACTCACTTTTAAAAGTCTTATTGCCTTGAGTTACGGTCCATTTCAGTTTGTTTTGACTGTACAGGT